AGTTTAAATATAGTTTAAAAGGATTAATTCTGACATTTTAACAAGGGGGAATTTCAGACAGCCGATATGTAATGTTTCAGGAACTGTTCACTAATGGTTTCTGTACTGACATTTCAGACAGAATCATTTTAGTAACAGTTCCCTAATGGAATATATTGACCCTTTCAGACACAAATGCTCCTGTCCCGCTAGGGAAGCATTCATGAGCTGTTTTACCTGCAAATTGCTTCCAAGCGGTCTTCAATTTTTTATACCGGTCCTGAAGCGCTACGGGGTGCTGTGTAAAATGCCCCCATAGCGCTTCCTCTGATGACAAGGTTTTCCCACCCTTTTTCGCCCACGCGGGCAATCTCTTTTTAAAACATGCTTTTAAGAGCGCTATAGCACTATAACTAGGGGTCATTTCCTGCAGGAGCGGAGCTCCAGCAGTAAAGAGCCCAGGGGGCAGGCACATGCAACAAGCCCCACTCTCTGCTCCCAGCAGCCCTCAGTCAGAGCAAGAAGCAGACAGGTAAGTTGCAGAGCCCCCCCTGGCCCAAAACAGTCCAGTGGCATCTTTAAGACCAAGTTTTATTCAGGTACAAGCTCTCCCTCCTCTGCAAGGAGAGATCTGCATGTTCCCCCCCCCCCCAATAGCTAGCAATCCAAAACAGTCCAGTGGAGCCTGAGCGGTGGGTGTTGCCTTCTGACACACTTCCAGTGATGTCCGGGGGTGTGGCATATGCAAATAAGTTATGCAAATAAGTTATGCTAATGAGCTCCTGCACCTCTTTTTCTACGAAATGACCCCTAGCTATAACACAACACCGAAACAGTACAATAGCGACCCCATTGGAATGCCTGGACCACTGAGATACATGAGATCATTACATCTGGGGAGAACAGGGATTTCAATGGAGTACAGTGCCATGGAGTCTACTTTCCACAGCATTTGCTATATGCCTGGGAACTGATATCTGTAGGCAAGAGATAAGCTGTAACTCTGCAATGCTCCCTCTAAGCTGTGGAGTTCTGTGAGCAAAAAATTCCACTTTGTGAGCTACTGGCATTAGAATTGTGAGCAAGTTCTTTGGCTACTGCATAAATTAGTTTGCTCTGGAGCCATTCTTCCTGAGCTAAGACAAAAACATGTGAGCCGGAGGCTAAAAAACTGTGAGCCGGCTCATACTAACTCAGCTTAGAGGGAACACTGGCTGAAAGTACAGGGGATCTCCAGGTCCCCCCGGAGGCATGGCATCCCGAAATGCTAGCCATCAAAAAGAGGATGCTGTTTGTGTTGTGTTATAACGCTATAGTGCTCTTAAAAGAACATTAAAAAAAAAAAGACAAAGCTTGCCCGCACGGGTGAAAAAAGGTGGGAAAACAAAGCGGCGCAGTCTGAAATGCCAAACCACTTCAGAGACAGCTCCTTACCGGTAGGGGAAAGGCTGTGTGAAATGGTTGCCCCTGTACCGGTTTACTCCAAGATGGTACAAGAACGGCTTAAAAAGGGTAATCTGAAATTCCCCAAGGTTATAGAAATAATTATCTTCAAAAAATTATGCAATAGTCAAATGTGTACTTGCTCACAACTTTAATGCTACTAGCTTTTTTCGCTCACAAGGTAGAATATCTGCTCACAACACTGTGGAGCTTAGAGGGAGCATTGGTAAGCACCTGAAGGGAATAGACCATGCAGAGAGCAAAGTCCACACTTTGTGGCTGAACTCTCTGAGATTTCAGCCTACCAGGCCCTCTGCCAGGATCCCAAGGGGCAGTCTCGTGTGAATAGTTAAGCAAGGCTCGCAGTCCCTTACCCGCATACCTCCCCTGGGCCTACCATGGTGGCACCGAGCCACACTAGACATGGCATCTCCCCATCCTGAACCTGACAGCCGTGGGGGCAAGCAGCAGGCACCCAGACACACATGGATGCCTCACACCAGCCTGTTAGGTACATCGTGGCCTACCCAAGGCTGGGGGAGGGGAGCCACTTTGATGGTCATGGACTAAGGCTGCTCACCTAGCCAGGTGGCAGCACCCTCCCCCCCCCCCGGGCAAAAACCTGTGGCAGCCGGCAAGCACCACTAACCTATGTGCTGTCCAATTCCACATGATGGCCACATCCTTTCCCATTCAGGAGAAGTCTGCCCTGAAGGTGCTAATGCCATTCATCTTCCATTACAGGGAGGTGCCAACAGGACGCCAACTCAGGTGAGGAAGGTGCAGAAACTGCCACATGGAGGGCCCCCTTGTGGCATCAGAGTGCCAGATGGGGTACCACTTTTACTGCATGGAGGCCCTTGCGGGACTACTGATGGCCCTTCATTCTGCCACAAGAGAACATTGCCAGCTGCTCCTGTGCCTGTTTTGGCCCATATGCAGGGGCTGATCCAGCAGGGAGAAGCGACAGCCCAACTGCACAGCCAGACCACCATCAAGCACTCACACTTCAGCAGAAGCCGCCCCTTGTTAGCGCCCAGACACATCCAGCATCCTTGTAATTCCCTCGCCACTCCCATGGAGGAGGCACCCCTAGCAGCAAAGGACTGAGCAGGGGTTGCAGTCCCACAGGAACCACTCCATTGTCCCTGGATCCCTTTAAGAAAGTGTAATCTTTCTGCCTGTCTGAGGCGTTGGTGTCTGTTGGGGAGCTGTGCAGGAGGGAGTGGCTGGAGGGGGCTGAGGAAGTGACAAAGACCTGGTGGAGGCCTCATCCTAGCAAGAATGCAGCCACAGAGACAGACACAGTTGGGCAGAATGGTAAGGCAAGGGGATAGGCCACCGTTGCCACAGCCACAAAGCAGACGGGCATGATGTGGAAGAAGGGGGGAGGTATCCTGGGATGGCAGGGTTCTGCAATGGGTGGTCACTTCCAGGTGGCCTTGGGGGATGTGGCTGGCCCTGGTGGGCTGGCTTGGCCCAACACGAAGTGCTGAACCTGTTGTTGGAACAAAGCTGTTGTCATAAAGGCCCACCACCATAGTGAGGTTCGACCAGTAGCTGAAAGCACTGCAGAGTGCATATGGCAGGAGCATGAGGGATGGGGCAGGGTGAGGGGATCGATGTGTGTGGGTGGCATGGCCACTGCAACATCTGGTGGTGGAAATGACCATCGCCAGCCAAATTGTACTGAGGCTGAGAAGGCACTACTTTACAGGTTGGTGGCAGAGAATGCTACCATTGCCCTTGCTACTGCCAGGAGTAACTCCACCACCTTCCACTGCCATGCCTCTGGCGCATGGCCACAGAGTGGGTGTCTGCCCTGGGACATGCCATCCGAATGGAGATGTCCACTCTGAAGCTCTGGAACAATTCCTTCAAGTCCTCCTCAAAAGTTTGTCAGAGCCCTCATGGCCAAAGGTGTTCCTTACAAGCAGGTGGTGAAGGATTGTCTGCCGGAAGCAGATGACGTTGTGCAGGCAGTGATACCCCCTGTGGTGGTGGGCATTGATGCTGTGGCATCCTGCCCTGACGAGGTGCGTGACAATGGCAGCCTCTGTGCTCCTGTGGTCACTTGGCATCATGGAGGCAACACGGAGGCCAGACTCAATGTCTTTGGATGACAACAGCCCTGCCCTGGTTCAGCTACCCTTGGGCCAGGTGTCACGACTGCTGATGACTTGGAGGAGGGAGGGGATTCTGGCCCCTTCCCAGTCCCCAGGCATGGTAGGAGCAGCTGGAGAATCATCACAAGTGGCAGGAAGCCTTTTTCAGGGAGCAGCAATGGATGGAGGGGCTGGAAGCATCTGTAGCAGTGACTGCCAGACACCTGGTTGGGCTTCTTGCCATAGTAAGGGACGTGGATGAGGGACAGGGGTGCATTGAGAGGGTACTGGGGGACCTGAGTCTCTCCGGGGCTCCCAGCAGACCCTTGCCCCCGTTTCTGCTGTGCCTGCAGTGGGAGTGGCACATGGGTTGGCATGGGGATTTCCTTGATGGCATGGGCACCCTGCAGGATGTTGCTGTGAGCAGGGGGCACCCTCACATCCATGTTCTTGTCCTTTGTCATCTTCTGGGGCCCAGTCTGCTCTATGTGTGGAGCACCACTGTGGGGTGCCCGTGGGGCTGACAGGTGACACCCCCTCCCCACTGACAGGTGGCCAGGGCTTATAACGGGAGCTGGTCTCTTTAAAGGGGGGTGTACAGCAGAGGAGAAGGGTTACTCCTATGGCCCACTCCCCTCCACCCCTGCCAGTGATGGATGCTTGGCTCTGCCTCCTCGACTCATGACGCCCATTAGTCCTGCCTGCTCTGTCTATCGTGGCAACCCCACCTCACAACAACACTGAAACGGAATGCTGTGGTGGGATTACCATGGACATTGCTGTGGCAGCACCTGACAACACTGTTGGGGCACCTTTTTCCCCATTCAGGTGCTGTGTAACTATCTCCTTAGGGAGGTGACTAGCAGCACTGCAGCTGCATCACAGTTGGCCACCACAGTCAAAGCACAACAACACAGAATCTGCCCATCACCAGTATCAGTATTTCCTAAAGCTGAATTGGCATTTGAATAGGTTCCTAGATTAGGAAGAACTGTTTTGTAGCATCCATTTTAGTAGTTTCCAGTATGTAATGTAACATGAAAAAAAAATTCAGGTAGGTAGCCGTGTTGGTCTAAAGCAATAGAACAAAGTTTGAGTCCAGTGGCACCTTTAGGACCAACAATGTTTAATTCTGTCAAGGTCAGGAACAGACTTGTTAGTGGAACATGATACTTAGCCTTAATTACAATTAACTTAATTTCACAACGATCACAGCTGTTTTTAAGCATCTTCCCATTATTATTTCTTGGAACTAATTTTTCTTGCAAACTTGAGCGCATACTTAATGTATGCACTTCATTTAAGAAATGTGTCTACTTTTGTACTTTTATTTCTTTATGCAGAATATTATTTTTATGATGAATTTTCAGTTTTTTTTCTACCTGTAAGTAAAGACTATATACAACTATATGTACTCTGTTATTTCTTTCTTCAATACTTTAATTTTATTGACAAGGTTTTTCTCATCTGTAGCACCAGAAATTCTACGAGGATGTGCCTATGGCCCAGAAGTAGACATGTGGTCCTTGGGAATAATCACCTACATTCTGTAAGTTACTCCATGGTACAAACATTGGTTCTTTGGTCTTCCATTTTCTAGGTACTGATGGTGTAAAGGTTGGAAAATCCACTGATGAGTCAAATCATGCATTTTAAAATAAATATTGCCTCTAAACTGTTATTATTAGCATATATGCATTTTATTCATGGTTGGTAGTTAATGCTTGATAGACTCTGGTACTACATGTCATACTGAAATTATACAGCATTAGATAAATATTATTATTATTTAGACATTTTGAACAGTGTCTGACCTATTTTTGTAAGCCGCGCTGAGCCGGCTTTGGCTAGGAGGGCGGGGTAAAAGTTCAAATAAATAAATAAATAAGATACAACTACTGCTTGGTCTGTAAGAAGAGATCTTCTAGGGAAAGCTTTGCCAATGTGAAAGTATTTTTCTAAGCTGCAGGGAAAAGAAGTACATGTGTGCACAGGAGTACTTCAGTGCATTGTTCTTCTTTCTCCATGTTTTAATGGTTTCCAGAGCACAAATAATACATTAGATCCTTCCCATCTTCCTCCTGTTTCCAGAGCTAGAATGTCATTCCATGCAGGACAATAAAACCTGGAAGGTAAAGGCAGAAGATCTTGTGTTGTACTCTACCACTTAATTTTATTTAGTCAGTAATCTTTACTGTTGTAAAATATATGCAAGTTCTATAAAATGGTAAAAGCTGAGGTAGGGTACCTATAAACTATTCAAATCCCAAAGCCACTGGACTCTTGGTTCAAAATCGCACATGTGCTTGTAAATTCACCTTCCTGCATGGTCATCATTTGATTCAAAAACCACATACAAGTGAATTTCGAATTGCCTTTCTGTGTTTCACACACAGACAGTGTGAAAAGGGCTGGAAAGTGATTTAATTGGCATAGGAGAATTTGCATCCTTTTTTATATGAACAACCAGTAGATGGCATACAGCACATGGAACAGAATAATGCTATTTTGCTTCCATCTGCAGCTCAGTATGAAATGCTTTCAAATCTCCTGATTTCTAGATTGTTTAAAATTCTACAAAATATTCTAAAGAATCATATTTAAATATAGAATCTTAATGTCCATTGCAAATTTCTATTGTTCTATTGACCTCTTATGACCTTATTCTCTGTGTTGAATACATGGTGTTCATGAAATGAGCAAAACTATTTTACAGCCTTCTCTTTCCCCAGTAGCCCTCTGAACAACCACAGCTGAGAGTCAGAATGTCCACGACAATATGCCTTCAACACAGAGGTCTATAGCAAGAACAAGCCAAAATCACTCTCTCCCTCCTATTCACATACACACTCTTGTGCAAGTGGACCTTGCTTACGTGACTCTGAGCTCAATTTGTGAGTTACTAGAGAGAAATTCTCACTGTGTTCCCCTTCTTGCTGCAGCCCCATGTACTACTTTATATTGTGTTTTTTGGGGTGCATGGAAAAAGACCACATCAGAGAGAAAGCTAGGGTAGAATCCATTCCTCTGAAGAGCTAGTTTTCTGTGTAATTCTGCGGTAACTATTATATGAGTGAGTGAATATGGGATTTGAAAGGTTGCAATATGAAGAGGGCTGTACTATATAATGTTCCTCAGTCTGTGGTTTGGCTCTTGATATGGAAGATAGAGGGTTTTTAAATTGTACAGTTTTCTCATAGTCACAATTACTATTTTACATCCAGATGGGTAGCCATGTTAGTCTATCAGTAGCAGTAGGAAAGAGCAAGAGTCCAGTAGCACCTTAAAGACTAATCAAATATGTGACAGGGTAAGAGCTTTTGTGAGCAGGGCCGGCTCCAGGTTTTTTTCCACACTAGGCGAGGCTACCTGCTGGTGCCCCCCCCCCAGCATGACAGCCCCAAGGAAGAAGAAGAGGGAAGAAGGGAATGGGCGCTACCGGGGGTGGCCTCAGCCAGGCTGCTTGCTTGGTTTCCTCCTGGGAAGGGCGCTCCCCAGCCCCCCCTTCCCACACCGGGGGCGGCCGTCGCAGTTGACCAGGATGATGGCCAGCATACAGTCCTTCCCCAGCATGGCCTCGGCGGGCAGGCACGTGGCAGCCAGTGAGCAAGGGCGGCAGTAGGGAGGCTCTGCTGCACAAGGCCGGCACCGGAATGTGGGGTGGAGCCATGCGGGAAGGAGGGTGGAGCCCGGCAGGGGGCCTGCTGGAGGCCAAAGGAGTGCACCTTGGAGCCGGTCTCCACCGCTGTCGCGTGGAGTCACAGCAGCGTCGCCTACCCTGTTTAGGCGAGGGAGGGGTGGGGTGGCAGGCCAGCGGGGCACCTCCTCTTAAGGAGTTGCTCTAGGCCGCTGCCTAAATATTCTCTGTGACAGGCCAGCCCTGTTTGTGAGTCACTGCTTACTTCTTCAGATTTTATATCCAAAATTGATATGCAAGGTTACAGAATTTTGGCGAACAAATTACAACATATTTAACATCTAGCACTTGCATATTTCTGTGTTTCTTTCATAGGCAAAAATCATGTTTATGTCATGTCAGCTAAAGTGGATTAGTATGATCAAGCTACCTCTCTGTTTAACAAACCTTCTGTCTCCCTTCCTTCTAGTCTCTGTGGCTTTGAACCCTTCTATGATGAAAGAGGAGATCAGTATATGTTCAAGAGGATTCTGAACTGTGAATACGATTTTGTTTCCCCCTGGTGGGATGATGTTTCTCTAAACGCAAAGGATTTGGTATGTTCTGCTAATTTTACCTCTGATTTCAGAAGAATCAGTAATGCACTCTATGTTTTGCATCTTTTCATATTAATTTATTGGGATACATTTATAGAATGCACATTGTAAATTTGGATTATACTAAAATGCACCTTTGGTTCAATATGATCCCTGTTCAGATATGTACCCTGCTAGCAACAGTCCTTCAGCTTCCTTTTTACAGGAGGAGAATCATGGGGATTAAGTGTCTAATTAAACAACTGGGCATCAGAATAACAGTTTTTGAGATAGTTTATGAAAAGTTTTTCATAAGATAAACTAAATAACTAGTTCTGATGCCAAAGGACCAATGATCGGTACCTCTGCATCATCCTAGCATGAGTTTCTATTAGCAGAACCATTTCTCTTGTATCAAATAAAAATGAGGTAGTGCAATTGATACTGTAGCCTTGAGGGGCTGTCACTATGGCATGGACACGGAGTATCTGATTTGCATACAGAAGGTCCCAGGTTCTTTCCCTTTCTTCTCCACTTAAAAGGACTGAGTAGTAGATGATGTGGAAAACTTCTACCTAAAACCCTGGAGAGCCATTGTCAGTCCAAGTAGACAGTCCTGTCCTTGACAGACCAATGGTCTGACCCAGTATAAGGCAGTTTCATGTGTACTGCTATTTGCTAATTTTCAGAACACTTCCAGGGATTTTTGGAAGCATATATTTAATCTGGCTTTCTTATACACTGCCTAGATTAGATTTTTGTTTCTTTCACTATAGTAAGCTAGTGTTTAAAATAACATAAAAGCTGCATATGTTGAGACTGGTTATTTTTTTGTAAGGCTGGAGAACATTTCTTCCAAGAGCTCAAATGAACAAGTCCCAAGATGTTCTTTAGTACAATTCTGCTTTCATCTAAGAGCTTTCTGCATTCTGTTTTCAGCAGCGGAAGGCAAAATCATTGACATTCATTGTGATCCATTTGTAGGCCACCAAGGGTAGAGCATTAGTTGCATTGCCTCATTCTTATTGGATTCAAGATATAGGGATCTGCTCAGATGAACGTGCACAGCTACAGTTCTTGCCAAATGTTATCTGCAGAATTCAATTACTGTGTTAAAGATACAGTTACAAATGCTCAGTTCCATAGCGCTTGTAAATATAACTCCGTGAGATGCTGCACTAATGACATTTGATTAAGTAGAACTTCAGTATAATTGCATGAAAAGAGCTTAGAAAGTCAAAATGTTTTAGTTATATTATAATATAAGCATTTCCAAGATGGGACAAAATGTCTTATTTGTCTTCATTTGGGTGTCCTAAATACACTGCATATAATTGAATCTTATGGATTTCAGTGGCATTTGACTTTTGGATAGAAAGAGGCATCGACTACTTATTTCTTGAACTGATAAGTTTATTATGATGACATCTGAGAGCCCCTAAAGAATTCTTTCTTCTTCCATTTCTTTTTTCTGTAAACAAAACTGATATAGAATCTACAGTGATGGGGCCGTAGCTGAGTGACAGAGCACCTTGCTTTGCATGCAGAAGGTCCCAGGTTCTGTCCCCAGCATGTCCATTTCAAAGGACCAGGCAGTAGGTGATGTGAAAGACCTCTTCCTGATACCCTGGAAATCTGCTGCCAGTCTGAGTAGAAAATACTAGCCTTGATGGCCCAATGGCAGCTTCATGTGTGTTCATATGTGATGTTAATCAAATAGCTGTTCTTATCCAGCAAAATGCCGGCACAGATTTATGGCTGCAAGCCGGCAGGAGTAATGCACTCAAAGAAGCTGCATGCACAGATCCAGCAACTGAAGGGGGAATCCCATTCATAACATCAAAGAGATGTTTGCCATTGTTACCTTTGACAGGACTGATCTTCAGGGAGCAGGGGGTGGACTGGATCCCCTTTGTGGGGAGCAGGGAAGGACAAGAAGATGCTTCCCTTGGAAGTGAACAGCTCCTTTTCTAATTGATCCCTGCTTTTCTACACCTCCATGGAGGACTGTGCTTGGCTGGCTGCATCAATCGGCAGGGCACTGGCTCTGGGATGAGCCAGGTGAAAAGACAGCCACCCTCCAGGCAGGCTCATGGCAGCAGCAACAGGAGGACTGTGTGCACAAGACCAGCTCCCTTGGAGGCTGGACACCTGGGCCAGTAGGGGCAGGACAAGCTGGTCCAAATGATTCCATAGGTGCCGAGATGTGGGGGGGGGTGAGGGCCTTTCCAGGCTGGGCTGGGGAGAGGAAAAGCGAGAGCAATAGGTCAAGCCAGGCATGTCCAAATTGGTGGCCAAGGACAGGGTGCTGCCAGGAGGGACAGCTGGTCAATTCCTCATCCCGCCCTGACTTGGGAGCATTGAAGATTCAATAGGGGGTGCTGCCCACTGTGCCCCCCCCCGACTGCTGTCCTGGCCTGGGGACTATTGAGAATTTTGAGGGATAAAATAACTTTTCTTTGTTGTTGTTATTATTGTTATTGTTATTGGTGTTGTTTTTGTTGTTGTTGTTGTTATTATTATTATTATTATTATTATTATTATTTATTATTATTATTATTATTATTACGCAGGTTAAGAAGTTGATTGTGCTGGATCCCAAAAAGCGTCTCAGTACATTTCAAGCTTTACAGCACCCCTGGGTTACAGGAAAAGCAGCTAATTTTGCTCATATGGATACAGCCCAAAAGAAACTGCAAGAATTCAATGCTCGCCGTAAACTTAAGGTACTTTTCTGAAAACCTATAAAACTACAAAAAAAAATAATCCACCAGTTCTCCCTGTGGCTGCACAGGAAGTGAACCTTCCTATGAACTGCAGAAAAGAGTAAGTACCTTAAAGTCTAACAAAATTTTTGGAAGGGTATGAGCTTTCATGAGTCACTGCTCACTTCTTCAGATAGGTATCTGAAGAAGTGAGCAGTAACTCACAAAAGCTTATATACTACCACAAATTTTGTTAGTCTTTAAAGTGCTGCTGGACTCTTGTTCTTTTCTACCGCTACAGACAGATGAACACGGCTACCCATCTTGATCTATTCCCGTGAACTGAAATCAAACAGTATCTCTTCCCTAAAGCAAAGAGGCGATCCCAACTTCACACATTCTCTTTGGTACAGTAGGTGCTTCCAGGAATCCTAGGAAGCATCTCCTTTAAGTCAACACCACCAAGGAAGGACTGGGGTTGCTATGGAGAGGAGGGCAATGACAAACCACCTCTATTGGTCTCTTGCCTTGAAAACCTCATGATCTTGGGGTCGCCATGAATTGGTTGCGACAACAGCATACATTTATTATTGCTGTTGTTGTCATTTTGTCCTAGTATCCCATGTCCTTTTGCAAAATTGCACACGTGCTCATGGCCTCAACAAGACTGGGGACTCCTGCTTTAGCAAAGAGGCACAATATTCCTCTACTGCCCAAGAGAGAAATTAGGCAATTCTGCAATAAACTCCACTGACAATTATCAGTTTCTGTATGATATTGATGGTTAGATTCAGCCAGCTTTTTTATTCAGTCTTGCTCAAACCTCCCCCCTCCCCGGTTCCCTATGGCTTTTGTCCATGCAAGTCCCAGGATCCCCAGCATTTGGTGGTCAATAGGGACTCCCTCCTCCTGTTTTCACCACTGGGGAAGCTAGTTGCAGCTGACCATGTTGTTGTATTTAATCAAGGCTTTGGTTGCTATAGGTAGATCTGAGCACCCAGATCTTTTACTATGGGATTATCCTTTTTCAGAAATGAATTTCATGTACTGACTTTTGAGAACAGTGCTCCCTCTAAGCTGTGGAGTCTTGTGAGCAAAAAGTCTTCTTTGTGAGCTACTGGCATTAAAGTTGTGAGCGAGTGATTTGGTTACTGCATAAATCAGTTTGCTCTGGAGCCCTCCTTCCTGAGCTAAGACAAAAATGTGTGAGCTGGAGGCTAAAAAACTGTGAGCTAGCTCACACTAAGTCAGCTTAGAGGGTTGGATCTGATACCACTATTACAGGATTTTGTAACATTTCTATATGTTTGTTTGTTAGCCAGTTTGGGATCAGAGAAGAAAAGAAACAGGTTAAAATATTAGATGATGATATAATAAAAACAGTCAACCCTGTTGATGGCTTTCTCCCTGCTTTCAGAATAGCTTGTGTGGTTTATTGGTTAGAATTAGAGTTGCCAACCTCTGAGTGGTGGCTGGAGATCTCCTTCTGTTACAACTGATCTCCAAGTGGCAAGGTCAGTTCTCCTGGAGAGGAAATGGCTGCTTTGGAAGGTGGACTCTGTGGCCTTATATCCCATTGAAGTCCCTCCCCTCTCTAACCCCCTCTCTCCTCAGGCTCCACCCCTAAAATCTCCAGGTATTTCCCAATGTGGAGCTGGCAACCATAGTTAGAATCTTGGTCTAGGATTAGAGAGACCTGACTTCAGATTGCTACCCAATTAAACTAATTGGGTGACTTTTGGCCAGTAATTCTTGCAGTCTAACCTTACCTACCTCACAGAATTATTGCTGTCGGGATAAAATAGAGCACACACAGAAATCCAGGTGGGTTCTAAACCACTGTATTTACTGACAGAGTTGCCAGCTGTCTGGTGTTTGCCCAGACAGTCCAATATTTGTGCTTTCTGTCCAGGAAAGCAAGTGAGAAAATATTGGACATACAAAATGTCTGGTGTTCTCCAATTGAGCAGCTGAGAGATGCAACCAGGCATTAATAGAACAGCCAGATAGACAGACCTCCTTGCCCAATCAGAGCTCTGGCTTTCTTCAGCTATCCAATCCTCAGTATCAGGTGGCCAGAATGCAGACACATTTGGCTTGTGTCTCAGCATTCTGTTCTCCCCCCTCCCCCCTCTCAATCTAGCAGAGATCTAAGAGATTGCATTTTTAAAACATAGGAATTTCTTGTGGGAGGTAAGCCCCACTTTTACTGCCATGGGTCATCTGCAAAAATGACTGAGCTTTGAACATGTTACGGTCTTTTTAATAGTGCTAACACAAATTTGACAGAAGAGCTTAGCTCTCTGGCTGCAGGTTACTCAACTGAGTCTATCTACAAAGTACTGCTCATATGGCTGTCGCCTTATGCAGAAGCACTCAGCTGAGTCAAAGAAGGAACAGAATTGGGGTGAGTTATTACAGAACATAAAAACTTGACTACTTGGAGAATCAATGCAGTCATGACATGATGAGTCTTGGGAAGTGTTAACCCCTTACAGAACTTAGTATCACTTCTTGCCCACTAAGAGAATTCTTTACAGAATTTGGGGATGGGCCATGGCTCAGTGGTAGAACATCTAATTGGCATGCAGAAGGTTCCAGGTTCAATCCTTGGCACCTCCAGTTAAATGATCTGGCAGTAGATGAAGACCTCTGCCTTTGACACTGGAAGGCTGCTGCTAGTGGACAGTACTGACTTTGATGGACCCCAAGGGTCTGATTCAGTCAATCAGATTTATTGTTACAGTCAATGACCAGCTCAATCAATCATGTGTTCATGTTTTTAAAACCTAATCCCCCCATTCCTTTGCTTCTCCTATTTCATTTGTATTTGATATTTAAAGTTTAAATTATCAGCAAGAAAACTTCTATTTTTTCCTTTTAGGAAACATATCTGGATGAGGCCCCTTGCCACCAAATCCCTATAACATTTTTTTCCTGACTTTGAGTAAAGTAACTGCTCCCCCTTATAATTAAGGCTGCAATGGGAGTAAACCTTAGGAACTTACTTTGAGTAAATGTAAACAGGACTGCTCCCCCCCTTATAATTAAGGCTGCAATGGAAGTAAACCTCAGGAACTTACTTTGAGTAAATGTAAACAGGTATAGATTCTCAATTTATCAATATGACAAGTTTTGTTGTATCTATCAGCATGGCTAGAGCTTACCCATATGCCAACTGCATGTCTACTGCCCTTTTTGGTTTAATTTTTTTATTACTCAGTGTATATTTAAGATATATTTCTCCATGAACTGACAAGCAGGAGAACCCTCTAGCTGCCTGTCTTCTAATATTCATAAGCTTCGTGCACCCTATAGTCACTTACCTGGGGGGCAGGTCTTGAAATCTCATATTTACTAAGTATATCTTGTATCTGACTGTATGACAGATCTCTTGTTTCAAAGCAGCCAAAATTATTGGCACCAGATATGTGCCAACTAAGTTTGCTCAGGAGACACTGCCCAATCTTTTGTCAACAAAGTTAAAAAAATAAGTGCTTTAATGCTTGTTCTTGTTAGTAGAATATATCATTGATGTGTGTGAATATGTGTCAATGAAAAGTGCCAGTCCACTGAGCTTCCACACACCACTCTCCATGACTTTCAACCCTCCATAATCAAATATGCACATTTGTAGGGTGAAAACAGAGTCAGGTCCAACAGGAACTTTGGGTTTTGGTTTCCAGCAAGTCTTATAAAACAATTCCTAGAATTGATTTGCTTAACTATTGGTAAATGTCACCTTAAACTACTGTTCCTATTCTGTATTTCTGTGCTGTGCTAATGGTAGAATTAGCCAGCAAACACCAGCAGAACTCTCTTCCCTCCTTGGCAGGGTTGCTAAAACCTGGAGATAAAATGTCCTGCACGTTTAACACAGGCTTAATACATGTAAATAGGCACTTGAAAGCTTTTCATGGCAGAGATGTAAATAACATCCTATTAAGCCTCTGTTAAAGGAGCAGGACATCTTTTCTCCAGGTTGTTGGCAACCTCACCCTTTGGTAGTGAGGAAAAAATGAATTTAGGTATTTCTGAACTCAACATTTTGGGGCTAAAACTGATGAAAGAGACACAATCCAATGTAAAACACAAGATGTAATATAGATTGTTATCAATAAACTTTCCATACCTTGCATATTTTTGTAGAGGTGGCAATTTTTTATCAAGTGCATCCATTATTTTTGTTGACACCATCTGGCAACTTTGTTTACTAACACAGTGCACAAAAGTTACTTTGTCACAAATCTATTTTGTAGAATGATGCTATTACTGCTATTTTAAATGAGCATAATTAAGATAGTTGAAGACATATCAAGAATGCAGTGTTCAATTTGAAGACACCTTGACTGTTTCATTTCTCACATGTACAGAGTTTGTCTTCTGAGCAATCAACATTTATTCCAAACATTTATCTCACATTAACGGTTTTGACTAAATGCAAATAATCTGATTGCAATATATACATTAATATAAAAATTGTCTTCATGCAACAATATTAGCATATATCATTGTATATATTATCTTTTACTAATGAAATACGTTGCACTATAATTCATTTTCTGAATTCAGTTTAAATGCACTGAGCGAAACAGAATTAAGCAAATTGTTTCCAAAGTAATATTAGTGGTCTTTGGAATTTATTGGACTAATCCAGTCACACTGCAGATATGCCATTTGTATTTTTTTTTCCCCTTGGATCGCATGAATTGCAGATCAATAGTGTTGCCAGCCTCCAGGAGGGGCCTGGAGATCTCCCACTGTCACAACTGATCTCCAGACAATAGAGATCTTTGTCCCTGGAGAAAATGGCTGCTTTGGAGGGTGGTGGACTCTGTGGGCCACTGTACCTTGCTGAGGTCCTTCTGCTCCCCAGGCTCCGCCCCCAAAATCTCCAGGTATTTCCCAACCCAGACCTGGCAACTTTTACGTGTCAGGGATCATGTACACTGCAATGTTTATCTAGCTAAAATATTCCTTTTTAAAAAGAAAGGCAAGAAACATCTTAGAAGAAATGAAGATTTCAGTTGCCTCACTCTTCAGTTGCCTCACTCAGTATTTCAGTTGCCTCACTCTTCAGGATGGAGCCTTTTTCTGGGTTACAAATGGAAAGTGGAGTTGCTTCAGATTTGCTGTTTGCTGATGTACAGATAGTGCCATATAAGATAATGCACAATGGGGGAGGGGAGTGTCTGAGCAATATTTAAAGTGGTGGAATATGCTTATATCTATTAAAACTTGCCTGACCCGGACAGCTTCTTTTTGCCTTCTTTTCACAGAAATAGGCTGAACCCCAACAGGCTCAGCTTTGAGCACATAGCCTGCTTTCTTAGACCACATGGATTTGATCAGTTTTGGCAGATGCAAGCCTTGATAGAGTACCAGACATTAGTAGATTCCTAGCCTTATAAGTGAGAATGCTCCTTGTAGGGGCAGATTACAACTACCCCAGGGTAAATGCCATGAAACTCTGTGCGTGTGTGTGTGCACGCCCATGCATGCAAACCCTAAAGCCCTTTACATAATGGAAGTTATTGCCAAAGAATCTAATCACTGATGTTTTTATCAGGCTGCAGTGAAAGCTGTTGTTGCATCAACTCGTCTGGGAAGCGCAAGCTGTCATGGCAGCCACGACAGCAGTAAGCCCAGCCAAAACGAATCTCCAAGTCAAGAATGCGATCTGGAGGAAAAAGTGGAGGGGGAAGTAGAAGCAACAAACCTCACTGAACCTCAGAAAGTGGGTCTTCCAGCAGCAGCATCAGAAGGAGAATCTTAAGCCTTGGGGTATCTTACTTAGCCCAGATCTGAAATTTCATGCCCCAGCCAAGTTACCATTCAGCAAGAAAGAATTAGAAGCATGGCCCCTCTGGGGGCTTTGTTATGAGATGCAAAATGCACCAGCTGGTGATCTTAACCAATGCATGTGACTGCTTCTGAAAAATAGTAAACAGTCTTTTGTTGGCATGCCATGGACAAAGTGATATTTACAGTAACACCAACAAATGAAATGGAGAAGGGAGAGTGTGTAACACTCCGTATGATCAATACATATATGTCATGTAGAGTGTTTATTGCTAGCTGAAATGAATGGTTATGACTTACAAAAAATAAGCATTTCGTAGAGATCATGACATTTCTTCAGTATTCTTCCTTTAAGACTCATGATCAGCCTGTAGTTTGACGGGCATAAGATCCACTAAGTTGTTGTTGTTGTTTTTTAACTGCATAGGAAACATTTTACGTATTCACCAGTGATAATTTACAAACTGTTTACAACTGAGAATGGATTTATATGCAAAAACATTCCATTATTTCAAGACTGAAAGGTTTATTCAGATTGCTATGAAAGTTATGTGCTCCTGAAACTGGTATTAAGAATGCCTTACTCTATTGCTAACCATTTCTATACAGTGTTTTGATGATAAACAAAACATCTCTTGGACTTCTGTCATTTCAGCACCTATTATTATATTAAGACTACAGTGTTAAGGTTATTATACAATCAGAGAAGATAGGTCCAGCTTTTTTGAGATACAACTGTAATTAGTCATGACTTTGAAAGTGTGCAGCTGTTTATATAGTTGGGAATTATCAGCCTGCAATTATAAAACTGTTCCAGGAATAACTATTCCACAGAATCATAGTTTTGCTATAGAAGACCACACAGAACACTTTAGGGTATGGCAACTGAAATGCATCTATGACTAGAGGTAAACGGGAGAGATGTCTGTCAGTGTGGATTTGATCAGTACAGGCTTGCCAATTGAGACAGGAGGGCAAACGTGGGCATCTACTTTTAAAAGGGTTACAATCTTTTACTCTTTCAGATATAACCCATGTGAGTTGAAAATTCAGCAAGGAAGATAAACAGGAAATAATTTGCAATTTATTTTATAACACCTGAATTTTTTACTTAGGTACAGAAATGACACAAAGATGCTGTCAAATAATGATCTTTGCGAAGATCTTAATATGTTAAATAGTTATTTCTTATCTTCTTACCTCTTTGTATTTCAGTGGTAGTCCTAGAAGAATTTTCCTTCAAAACAGGAAACAAAACTTAACCAAATGAGAGAATGAGTAGTTAACCAGGGAAGCAAAGAGTATGCATTCACTCTGTTTTTTAAAAAATTACTGCAGTTTAAATGAGGTTTGGTAAATAAAAATTACTTTGGTGATCATAGGACAAAATATTAAGTTTGTAATTAAGTGCCCTATGTGACCTTTTAAAACATGGTGAAAAATAATTGTTGTGCACAAGGGATTGTTGCCCCAAGCACAAGTAGTCTTTATGTTCCAGAATGTTACGATTGTTGCCCCAAACACAAGTAGTCTTTATGTTCCAGAATGTTACACTCGGAAGGAAAAGTAGGGCCCCGTTCACACGGAGCATTTGCCACGCTAAAGATATGGATGATAGGCGGATTTTCCGGGCGTGATCACACCGCAACATCTGGGAAGCGTAGTGCTCCCGTAGCTTCCCGCCGAAGATGTGGAGTAAAAAACTTGTACTTACAATGTACTGGTTTCCGGAAAACGCAGGGCAAGGGCGGGCGTCTGATCGCGTTTCCGCTGGAATCCCGTGGCATCCGGTGCCCGCTTATGTCTCCTTGCAAACCGAATGGTTTTTTTTAAAGTCCCCACAGGATGCGCACAAACAATCATGCACATGCGCAAACTTCGGTGAGACAAACAAAAAATCCTGTTTGCCACGGAAGCGGCGCCTAGCGATTGCTGGTGCAGGATATCCGTGTGATCGGCACCTCACCCCCTAACCACGGGACCTTGATGGGACATGTGATCGGACAGCCGCGCGTTATTTTGCTCCGGGGCAAACAGCCACGCTCCCCCCCACACACATTTTCCGGCCCGTGTGACCGGGACCAAGATGTGGATTTAAATATCAGTGGCTATATAACTTGTCTGTGAAAAGGAAGACCTCAAAGAGCTTACCCAGAAAAACACAGAATGATCTTCAGTACTGCATATACATTTTCTTCTGTAGAAAGGAATGTTCAAGGTGTACATGGAGACTGCATCTAGCCTGGGCAGTTTCCTTATAAGAGAATTGACAATCCCTGTGCATATGGAGTGTATTACATGGCAATAAATGTGTTGGTTAGAATGGATGGGTTACAACTACTGGATGCTCTTCAGCTCCATGTCCTTTTAAAAGTAAAAGTTGCTGTCCCAGCTGCACGTTGTAATGCAAGTTTGCTGCACATGCTCTAGATAGTATATGGGGGAGAGGTGATTGCTGTTTGTAAATGCCTAGCCATTTCGGAAACACAGGGTACACAGAGTGGTTTAGTATTCGTAGAGTAGCACATTAGCCTAGCAGTTAAGAAATCTCTTTGGAAGTTATTAATATGGTGAACCACACAAAACATAAGCATTTCAGCATCCCAGTATCATTTGTCTGGAGAGCAATCAAAACATCTGGTGTTTTAATCTGTATTCCAAAACCTATAGCAATATGCCTATAAAAGAATGCATATGATTAAGTATGTTAAAGTAAGATGTCACATTCTCTGTAGCAATGAAACGTCAGGCTGTTGTATCAGAGCAAGCTCGATAACCATTTCCCCTGTCCTCTTCTGAAACTTTGCTTGTTTGGGTTTTTGCTCTTGTTTGTGGTTATGCTAACTTTGTTACAGAGGTTTGTAATCAAATGCTTAAAAGACAGCATGATGCTAAACCCAGCAGGGTAGTCGGCATGGCTAAAGAATGAAAACAGTTTCTGAAATTCTTTAATTGTACTCTAGAAACTACGAATTGGCTTACCATAGCAACTCCTTATTCCTGCCACGCCTCTACACACACATACGTACATTCTAGGCCCTGCCATGTTGGCCAAGCTGTACTATTAATAAGCACACTTGTAGAGATTACCTCCTTACTGAATCAGCGCCTTTAATTTTTTTCCCCCTGCTCAGTCCCATGCAGGTTTACTTGGAATAGGCTCCTCTGAATTCAGGATTAATTTACACATACTGAGTCAGTATGTGTAAGATGGCAGCCTTAAAATGTGCTATTGACTTTGGAATTATCTAAGGGATACTGTTGCCATTCCATATAATGATACAAAGGTAATTTGTAGTAGTACAACAGACTTCAGATATAGATTTACCATGAATGTGTGTCATTGGTAGAGTTAAGGCTGTTTGTATTACCTGAGCAGATAAGCTTCAGATTTAGTACTGTAAGTACTTGTACATTGATATTTCCCAGAAATATGTACTTTCTCTTGCCACTTCAACAGTTTCTAAATATAAACAACAGCAATTTGGCTTCAAAGCACTTCATTCTCTGTTGGGTTGTGGCACCAACCACACAACACACAAAAATGTGATAGTCCTCATCAGTCATAACCCTGCAATACTTAATGAATTGAATAATACCAAACCTGATATTTGATCAATGGAGGAGGTCACAAAGTTGTATGTAGTGACTAGCAGGACACCAGTGACTAGCATTGGCCAGCTGTGATGTTTGTGTTCTTGCTACTGCATGTGGGTAGATATAAAGAATGCTCACCATTCCAAAATATTTTGTTATCTTCAGCTGTAACATCAGCAAAGAAGCTGACAATGAGGGAGTCAGGACTGACAAGCATCTATTGAAAACTGTGGTTACAGAGGCAACAGCTGTAGAAGCAGCAGAAGTGAGAAATATCTGCTCCAAGAAACTCCTTTAAGACTGCTCCTGCAAGACCTAGCAAGACAGCAGAAACCCAACCATGACCATATATCCCTAACTTAGTTGCCTTAAGAGAGCAGATACTGAATGCACTTACAGCACAGAAGCACATGACAGAGCAAGTAACAGGGGGGGGGGGATGTGGTGGGAATAACATAAACCAGATAACAGACTGTAGTTGATAACCCTTTATTATATCTGTAGCACTTAGGGTGTATTAAGCGCTTACTGATTTATTTGCTATCATGGCAAAAAAAGATCTTCATTCTCTCTTAAGCACAGCCCTTTGTACTACAGCTGTACTCACAAGCAGATACCCAAATTCAGAGAATCACCATTTTTCTTGGGTTCTTGTTCTGTGTATTTAAAGAGTCAAGTGGTAGCTTACATGTATGGGTGGGTGGATGTCAGAAATTACATGCTTCACATACACTTTGTAATTGGGTACCTATGCCCAAGAACAAAATTTTGTGTGAGAAGCCTGCTAATACATAGTGTTATGTGTTGGATAGATCTATGTTGTGCAGCAGTGTGCTTTCCCCCCTCCTTCCTTGTAGAACAGAAGGGAACGTTCAAAATCAGCTTCTGCTACATGTTAGGAAGACTCCTGTTTCAGAAAAAGCAAAGGGTTTGCTCTACATGCGCGCTCTCTTGCATAAGTATAAATTTCATGGGCTCACTGCAAATAGAGAAAGGAGCATGAAAGCTCAGTGCTTTGATTGCTTGTAGCTTCTGATTGAAGAAGGAATTGTAAATCTTGTCTTTTGCTTCAGATACTCCCGTGCGTATTACTGGAATGTATAATTTTTGCCTCTTAAAAACAAAGATACAGGCCTCAATCCTGTACTGATGTAAACACTCAAAGCCTATTGAAATCAATACTTGGAAGGGTGACCTCCAAGGAATACCAGGGCCGGATCGCAGAGGCAGGTAATATCAAGCCACCTCTCTGAAACATCCTAGACCTAGTAGGGGTCGCCAGAAGTCACCATGACTTCCAGGCTCACATGCACATACACAAACACACAAAAATACTCACCAAGAATAATAATAATTAATTCACTGTTATGTGACATAGGGCACCTGGCTTAAATACAGAGGCCTAATTTTCCCCAAAAAAATAAATATGTGAAAACCAATTTTCAGAATGGACATAAAATGATGTGGTTAACACAAGATATGTTCTACAGAATTAGCATTCACAAAGGGCCCCTTGGGTTAGTTCAGGGTTTATATAATTTCTGAAATGCATTACCTGCATATTTTTGTCATCTCTTCTGTATTCACTTCCA